TACATGACTGATACTGATCGGCCGCTTACGTGGCCGATCAGTATCAGTCATGTATTTCCGTTATCACTGCCTGGGACCAATCAACTAATACCCAACGACCCAAGATATTATTATTACAAATTCAGTTCAGGAGCATTTTTCATTCTTTACTATACTTATTATAATTAAGGAGTGTTTATTCAACCTATATTTCGAAATAACGCGCAGATGGGCGTTATTCCGAGTTTGTACGGTACTAGGAAAACAGATACTGTTAGATATCCAGAATGTGTTAAAAGTAAATATATTGCAATATTGATTGATATAAATTGATGATCATCTAACACGCACAATCTGATGCTCCGAATAATAATTTGATATTACTGGTTATATAATTTTTTTTTGCCTTCACTTTGAAAATAAAGGTTCTAGATTCTTGTGACACATCATGAAGACGTTAAATATTCGGTGTATTAATTTACTTACAAAAGTGTGGAAATACCAGTTTCCTAAATATGTACATATATTGTGCTTAAAATAAACTTCGTGTCATGCAATACTAATGTTTTGGATCCATTAAAAATTTTGACATACACTATAAAATAACATTGTAATACATAAATACATAATAGACCTTAATTGTCATTCAATAAATTTACATTATATATATATATTAGTAAGTAAATGAAACAAACAATTAATAATTGGAATACCTGATGCAATTTTCGGTAACAAAATCAACAACTATTTCTAAAGTTTTTATTCGGGTATTCATTTTATCACGTTTAGCTGTTTCCAAGATTCCAACAAATAAATCATTTATTTTCGGCTTTAGACTTTCAAGTTTTTCATTGTCCATTTTAAGTACAAATTTCTCAATCTTTTTAAATAATAAATTTTAATATAAATTTATTTATATAAATTGTAGAAATACGCACTTTTATATAATATGTGAAATCCACTTTCGTTAATACTTGATTCTATCAATTTATTCGTTCATTTTGTTACCAAAGTTATAAAGTCATTAACGCATTCTCAACCAATTTCGGGTTGATCGCTCGATTTAATGCTAAATTTGCGCTTTAAAATGGTGATTCTGATCACAAAATGATAAAACCTTTTATAGTTATTACTCTGTTCATATCACCGACAATCACTTTATAAACATCTCGACAAATTTATTTTATAGGCACTTAACAGTTAGTCGTTGTTAGTCGTTGTTACTAGGATTAAGACTAGAATTATGTTTAAGATTATGTTTAAGATTAATTAAAATTAATGCAAGAAATAAATAAAGCCTGTATGTGAATAAACTGTTGGTGATATAGACTGCCCATGAAGTGAGCCGTCAATGAAACGAATTGTTCATAAAAATAACGTGTTTTTGAATTAATCGCCTTTAAATAAACTTCTCGGTAAATTAATTGCCCGTAAAATAGGGTGTCTATGAGGTGATACGGATCCCTCAAAAATTTTATTGAAAAAATATAAATATGTCTTTATTCACGAATAACATCCCAGTCTTCCAAAGGAAAATATTTATTGAATCGTTATATAAATCGTTATATATATATATATATATTTGGAATGAGGCCTGGCCTCGTCTTTATTTAATAATCATGCGTTACATTGTTTGTAATGAATTACATGAATTATTACAGGGACCTACAGCTAGGACTAATTTATCCTCGGCCCAAAGCTCTATTAGAGTTGCTGCCTGGCCTCCACTAGATTTAGTTAGTGTTGCTATGTAAGATGTAGATATATTAGTAGTAGGGAATATATTTGACCATTTATTATATTTGGCTATGCTGATGTGGTGAGTGGGGGGAATGTATATATATAAATAGATAAATTAACCTTTTAAGAGATAGGCAATTTAAACTTAAAAAAGGTAATAATATATATACCATTTTCGGAGAAAAATTTGATATCATTTATGAGGACCAACCAACAAATGTCAACAAAGATCTAAAATATTGAAAAAAAAGTGTTAGCTTTTTATAAACAACGATAGAGCTTAATGATAAATAAAATTACCAATTTTTGTACCAATTTTTGATAAACCAATTCTATCAGGATCCGATTTCATTCTGAAAAAGTTTTTTTAATTCCAAACTGCCCTTTACTAAGAAACAATAATTAACCCGAATTTAATGAAAGAAACAGTTGAAATGAAGTCTAATTTAGAGATTGTACTTGTTGAAAAAATCTTTACCAGGTATTATATTATCCGGACTATGTTAGAATGAGAAATAACTTGAATGAATGAATGAATAAATGAATGAATGAATGAATAAATGAATGAATGAATGAAATTTTATCTCTTAGCAGTATCATGAATGTATAACTATCCTGGGTATAATGAGTATCATGAGTATCATGAATGGAATTTTTTTTATTTAGTGTCTTTAAGCTTTTAAGCCGAATCAAGTGTAGCAAGTGTAGGGCGACCATTAAGCCACACGATAGATTATACTCAATTTGGAGAGTTAGGGTCATTGATATATGTAAAATTACTTCCCCGACGAGTATCATGAATGGAATTTTCTTTATTTAGTGTCTTTAAGCTTTTAAGCCGAATCAAGTGTAGCAAGTGTAGGGAAACATTAAGCCACACAATAGACTATACTCAATTTGGAGAGTTAGGGTCATTGATATATGTAAAATTACTTCCCGACATTTTTTATTAATGCTCAAAGGAAGGTTTAGACTAGCGTTTTTTTTTTTGTCAGGTTTATCAAAATTTAACAATTTTGATTAGTTTATTTTTTAAGGACCTCCCTTTTATGATATAGTCGGATGGTTCGAACTAGAATTGATTTTCATTTTTAGTAATATTCCTGACTAAATTTACATTATTTTTTATTATTTTCGATTCAGAACCTTTTTTTTCGCGTTTTGCTTATATGATTTCTAAAGTTGCATTAATATGCAACTATCTATAAAAATGTAGATCCTTCGGATTTCCCGACTTCATTCCCGAGTTTATTTTCAAAATGATTCGAATCAATCCAATAGTATTCTGCATAAAAAAATATGTCAATCATAGACATAATAGGAAAATTCTCTTCAAGCGTTAAATGTTTAAGGTTTTCCAATTTAGTAAAGTTGATAGTAATACGTACGTACGTACAGTACGTACGTAGGCAAATTCTTTTTAAACTTAAAAAAAATTTTAAGGTTTGCCAAATTAGTAAAGTTAATAATAAAGTAAGGGAATTAATATAGCATTCGTACCTCCAAATTTGATATCCTGTAAACTATAATTTTCTCAAATTTTGAGCAAAGATATCTTGGCAACCGCCAAACCAATTCAATAAACTTTTTTTTTTTTTTTTTGAATTCTACGAATTAGTAGAATTTTTTTAAAAAAATATCAAATTGGATCCGGTGATTATCGAGATACCTTTGCTCAAATTTTAAAAACTCAAAATGTCCATCAAAATAGCTGTGCTGAAAATTTTCTCAAACTTTGAGCAGATAACCAGATATCACCAGGCAAAATTCGACATATATATATATATATATATAGTATATATTTTATTCGAATTCTACCAATTCGCAGAATTTAAATAAAAAAAGTTCGTTGAATTTAGCTTGGTGGTTATCGAGATATCTTTGCTCAAAGTTTGAGAAAATTTTAGTTTATTGGAATATTGATATCAAATTCGGGGGTACGAATATCAATTTTCTAAAGTAATGCCAAGAAATTTTATAGTTTATTTATCAACTTATCTAAAGTAATGCCAAGAAATTTTATAGCTTATTTCTCCACTTCTTTAAAGTAATACTAAGAAATTTGTTATACATAAAAATGATCGATATTAAGTTCGAGGTGCATTTGTCTATGTTTTTCATTCGTGTAAATCACGCTAATCACATTGCTAACCATCTGCAATTCTTGGCGTCTCGGTCGAATTAAATTCAATGATATTGAATGTGCTATTTTGTTTATAAATAATTCGAACAGACATGGACCGAGATCAAAATATTATTGTTACACTACAAGCAAAGAAGTGCATATGCAAGTGCATTATACATTATATAAATAAACAAAATACATAACTTTGTGTTGAGTATAGAATGTGCGTGGGGGGAGGTATTTTCGAATTGACATGAAATCCTTTCCATGTTGTGACTCTTGAAGAAAAACCCAACTCGAATAAATCATAATAGTTAACACTAAATAATTAGATATTATATCTTACTTTATAGTTATTTTATAGCTAATTACTAGTAGTATTAAAGTTACAAATTTGCTAATTTTAATAATAAGTAGGTTTAGAACTTTAATAATATATAGGTATTCTAAAAAGTTTTTAAAAAATATATTCTAATTTTTTTTTGATTATTGTTCAAGAAAATGCTTATTATTTAAAACAAAACATATATAATTTTTTAGTTATTTTTATAAAACTTTAATAAATTTTGAGTTAAATTAAATTTAAATAAGATTTGATTTCTAATTATAATAAATTACAATTATTAAAAGTTAAATCATTTAAATTTGATTTTGTCTAAAAATTATTAGAATTTTATAAAAATAACTAAAAATTTATATATCTTTGTTTTAAAATAAGTATTTTATAAAACAATAATATAATGATAATTTGAAAAAATTTAAAACATATTTTTTAGAATATAATAATTTAATAAAGTAATTAAGTTGTTATATTTTCAAATGGTATATTGACAGGTTGGAAGTTCAAAATTTATTAGTAGGATTTTTTAAATATTTGATTTGAGATTTGATATAATTTGATATGATTTAAGTTATACTGCATAAAATATAAATTATTTAATTAAATACTCTAAAATGATGATAGTATCTATAGGTAGTGTTGGTACTGAACATATGTCCAACTATTTTTATGCTATTGGACTAAACTGGACATTGGACTTGGACATATATCTAGTTCAATATGTCTAATAATAATTTATATATTACTCAATATCTATTGTCCAATATTTTTTAGTTCAATAGATTGGACTAGACAGGACAAGTGTAGTTTAATGTCTATGTTCAATATTTAAACCCAACACTGTCTATAGGTACTATTATTATTTTAGAGTATTAATTGAATAATTTATATTTTATACAGTATAATTCAAATTATATTAAATTTTAAATCAAATATTTGAGAAACTCTACTTATTAATAATAATATTTTAAATATTTTGCTTGTACTATCTTTTAATCTGTAGGCTTTTCTAGACAAATTTGTCTAAAAAATTATATTTTTTAAATTTTAAAATATTTAAATAATTTTTTTTAATAATATTTGAAAATAAGAATTATATTATAGCAGTATTTGATTTTACTTTATAAAAAAATTTTAAGTTGTTTATAAAATAAAATATACTAATTTAGAAAAAAATCTTTTAATCAAAAAAATTATATACTTATTCTTGATAAACTTTTTAAATATTAATTTTAAAGCTATAGTTTTTAATACAAAATTATAGCTTATATAAAAGATAATAATTTTATTTTTATAATTTTTGCAAATTACTTATAAAATTTAAACTTGTTTTTTTTTTTTTTTTT